ATTTTCACAAGTTTTCATGTGGTATAAAACTTATTGAAAATTCTATTTGACATCATACTGCTACTCTTCTAGAATAAAATTATTTGTAACCCTCTACATGATAGAGAATACTGAAGAGAAAAGAACAATAATTTTGTTTTGAGTTTGTACTATCGCTTTATTATTCATTGTTGAAAGAGAGGAAAGAAAAATATTTTCTATTTTGGTAATTCAGTGTGCACGTGTCACGCAGATCACGACGAAATGCATTTATGAGCATAGTGATTTGCTCCTGCCAGACATAAATAAGCGACTCATATTTCAATCGTTTGATTGACAGAGACGTTTTGAATTACGAATGGAGCATATTGTACAAAATCGCCTCTATAAATATTTGATTACTATAAAAGATTGATATCCTATCCAAATAGATATCGCCAAGCTGTGTAGATAGCTTTATCGCTAACGTCAATATCGTTCTATGTAATGCGACGTCAGATGCATTCAAGATGCTCTACTGATGCAATTTTATCATACGCTTTCAAATAATATCGTTGATAGTAAGTTTTAGTCAATGTCTGAGACAACATACGTATTTTCTGAAAGCTACAAACGTTTCGGGCATCACATAATGAGCACTTTATCAAGAGTTGTAGCAAAAGTTGAAACAATAATTAAAGATCTACATTATGCAAAACATAGTACGAATCAAGAACTATCAGAGTACGAAAACGAAGAACTTTTACGTCATAATCTTGAAATTGCAAGATTGACATTTATGTAAAGCAGAAAAATCAAAGTTTTTTATTTGGCGGAGTGACTGATTGATTTCTCAAGCACTTTTAAATGAACTGGACGAGAATTATTTGGTAAAACTGACAGATAATGCCCCCCCCTCCCCACAGAATAGAAGCCCATCTGGAATAGAAGCCCAGTCCCAAGGTTATAACTTTTCAAACATATTAGAAGCCCACCCTGTCCGAAATGAGCACAAAATAGATACTTTTAAAAAAATTTGGATAAATTATTTTAACTTCTTATTTAATTGTAGCTCAGCCTATGTGCATAATTTCGTTTGTATTCTATGTATTTTCTATCAACAGATAAATGAGCGTCTATCAAATGTTTAAAAATAAGTGCACATATATATAAAAATGGAGTATAACTGTGCAAAAGTAATTCAATGGTAATTTCGTGTGGAATAATATCGTTCTATTCAATTTCTTTTCCTTAGGGGTTTATATACCACTCAGAAATGAAACGATGGAGATTTTTATTAACTTCAAAGCTGTATTAAGAAATCTGTAACCGAAAAAATAAGGCTTCATAAAAAGTTGAACTGTTACCGATAGCAATTACGGGAGAGATCATAAGATTTAAAAGCAAATCCCAATGTACAATGATACAATATTAATTAATATAACATTTAACAAGATATGAATTATTGATCCCTCAAAAAAACAAGAAAGTCTTCTTACATAGACAGAGTATACTTCATATAACTATCGCGATAATCGAAGTATATTTTTTTGTATTACTTAACTGTATATAAGCTTTTATAATGAAGTTGTTCAACCGAACCATATCGCTATATGTATCATAGAAATCTCCTTTAATTTCTTTGGAAGCTCGTCAATTTTCTTCAGTAGTCTATTGTGTTAATAGGGTTTTTCCTTACCAAAGCAAGATACATGAAATAATGAGGATAGATCGACATCTGGCTGGAAAATATAGTGTCAAAAACGTACTAATTTATCAATTAGATAATGTGGAGCTTGGAAACATCTGATAGCCAATTCTTAGTTCCGAAAAAGACCATAACAACTACTCAGAAAGCTATCAAATAGCTTGAAAATTTTGACTTCTAAACTTTTGACACTTTCTGCGCTTGAAAGGTTATTTGATTTTGGCCGCAACATGAAAAAAACTTCATCGCAATAGAAGCCCATGCAAAAACTTATAATTTTCAAAACAAAATAGAAGCCCAGTGGGCTTCTATTCTATGGGGAGGGGGGGGGGGGTATTGGTATGCCTTTGAAATGTCCTGGTGGCTGTGGTGGTGGCATCGTGTCTCTTTTGTCGTGCTTCTGGTTTTGGTTATGAATTAAGTGTTGANCAAAAGTTTAGAAGTCAAAATTTTCAAGCTATTTGATAGCTTTCTGAGTAGTTGTTATGGTCTTTTTCGGAACTAAGAATTGGCTATCAGATGTGCTTGTGGCTATGGTTGGTTATAAGTGTCGTTGTTGGTGCGGATATTGATGTGAGTATGAACGAAAGGATAGCCTCTCACTCTCACATCCTCCTCAGGTAAGCGATCAATCCAGTCTATGAAGAAGGGGATGTGAGAGTGTGGAGTGTGGGGAGTGGGTGTGATGAAAAGATAAACACCCCCACTATTATCCACACCCACACCCACACGCAAACTCAGACCCACACCCACACCCCACACCCACCCACACCACACCCATCCACACCCTAGAAAAAAATATCAGCAAGCAAAATACATAAAGACGGTAAGTTTATTATATACACCACAACAACTAAGATAAGAAAAAAGAAATTACTGTTACAAATAATAAGAGCACAGAAAGAAAGCAGTATGTGTCGTATAATAGTGATAAACATACTGAACAAAATTAGTATATAGAGAGTAATCGTAAACGGAATCTGAAAGAAAGAACGTAATCGTGGGTATTTTATTCACCTACACTCACACCCTATGAATTTGGACGTCTATTTGATGATGAGACTTTTAATGTTTCGCTAGCATTGGAAAAGAAATTGGATATACTCTTTGCTTTCTTCATTGAAGAAGCCATTTTTCGTTCATGTTCTATTTTAATTTTTTCAAATTCATCAAGAATATGTTGGCATACTTTTGGATGAAAACCTGATTTAGTTGCTGCTGTTTTAGCAGCTGATGAGATTTCTTGATCATCATCTACTTGTAATCGTTGATTGTCTTGTGTTGATAATGCTGAATCGAATAATTTTCTTGAAACACGTCGTCCTTCATTTCTATAAATTTTTATTGCCTTTCTCACACTAGCATATGTTCCTCGACTAAGCCACGTGAGTGATGACATTGTACCTACTGCAGGTTTCATACCAATATTGACAGTCGCTATTAATGTTCCAGCAGCACCACCTAATACACCATATCGTTGATAACCGGCACGTGGTTGCCTTATAATGCCCGTCATTCCATCTTTCCAACCATTCCATAAAGCTAGACCAGCTGCCTTGGCATCCGATTTGAAATCGGTGACTCTTGGTCGTGGATGTGCTTTCACATCACCACAAAGAATTGAATATTATTTTTTTTTCTGCATATATGATAACTATTAACAAGGATCTTACGTGAATGGATCATAAATAAAAGTAAAACGATCGAGTGCATCACTTAGTTCACCATATAATG